TGAGAAGTAGTATTTATATACATCTTTCATTGGATATACTTTTTTTTTAAATCAGACTATTTCCCTATATATGGGGGGGCTTCAAATATAAAAAATGCATATAGAAAGTAGAACTTTTTCAACTTAACTTTTGAAAGTGTTCCGGAAGGTCTGACACTTTTATATATATCTTAAATTAAAGCTAATGTAATATACTTTAATTTGAAAAAAAAAAATTTGACCTCTGGACTTGTCTTCACGGCGAAAATGGCTACCGAATGCTATTTTCGTGTGAAAATTCTCGATTTTATTATTTATATTATATTTAACTTTATAATGCTATAACTTATTGAAAAGTTTATGGCTCCACACAATTTTTTTATAAGAAATAATATTTTTTAATAAACCCTTTTTCATTCGACATACTTTATCTTAATCGAGATATTAATAAGGAACCAGCAGATCAAGTAGCTTTTGGAATAAAACACCATTTTTTTTAAAATTAAACACTATCTAAAGATTTGCATCGAAGCGTTTATTTTTGATAGTGATTTTAATCACTGTCAGATATCATTATACTTGATCCAACTATACCACGTCACCACTGTGCCGCGACCCCCCTGTGCTGGGTTTTTTATTATTACTAATTACATATAAAATAATAATTAAAAGAAAATTAATTCAGGAGAAACTAACATTCATTTTCTTAGAAATGATTTATATAGCAACAGGTTACCAAAAAATTTGTAATATTATAGTCTACTAGTAGCACATACAAATAGAGTAAAAAATTTATTAAATTACAAAGTAAAATGATTTAATTTGGTAGTTGAAACCTATCAAATCAAACTTCATTCGTTAATAAATATTTTGAAAACATTAGAAATTGATGATTTTAATTGTCTTTATGGAAAACATGTAATAACTAACTGTTTAATTGATAGATTAGAATTTTTTTTTTCAATTTTTGAGGGTAATATCTTCAACTAGATATGAATTGTAGTCATTTGACGTATCGTTGAAAAAAGTAGGTCAAGTTAGAGCAGAGAAAATAAATGATAGTCACAAAAATATATCTTCTCAGCTTTGCATCGAAGCTAAAACTTAAAATATAGTAAAATAATTTTAATACGAATAAGAAATTTCTTCTTGAAAGGGGCGACTAAAGTGATGGGATCCTTGATCTTTATTGAAGTTATTGAATCTAAATGAGATAAAAATCAAACGAGTTAAAAATTTATACCAACTTAAAAAGAATTAAGAAAGAATGCAAAAAATTCATTGCCATACGCGGGTGGAACCTCGTACCCTAAGCGTGTAAAACTGAAGATTTACCAATTCGGCAACCGTATGTTACTATGATCGGTCGAAAAAATTGGCTATTTAAGATAGTTCAAATTACAAAGTTATTTTTCTCGACTTAAAAGAAGTAAACAAATTTAAATAAGTTTAACTTTCTATGCTATATAAATTTTTCATTTATATAATATTTATGAAAATCTGTACTCCCATTGTCAGGTATTTTAAAATAAAATAAAATACAAAACCTAGAATTTTAACACAAAAATAGCAAATTTTTGAATACGGTTGTTCAAAAGTTAAAGTGTGTACCGGTCAAGTTCCCCACATAGCTCGAATCGCATTACCCCTCTCCATGTAATGACGAC